AGTTACGTGAACATGGCTGAAAGCTTTCGGCTTCCGAAAGTGAATATGAAATTCTAATATGTTACATCACACTTCACATTACCTACCAGGAGGAAACATACTTGGTTTTCTCCATGTCCAATTCTGAGACAGCATTTCTTTGACAAAATTCTGAGATAAACCAAGCCACAGGTACTCTGAAGAGAAGCATTTGCCAGTTTTCTTCTTACATTTTTATTTTTATTTTATTATTATTATTTTTTTTTGCGGTACGCGGGCCTCTCACTGCTGTGGCCTCTCCCGTTGCGGAGCACAGGCTCCGGACGCGCAGGCCCAGCGGCCGTGGCTCACGGGCGCAGCCGCTCCGCGGCGTGTGGGATCTTCCCGGACCGGGGCACGAACCCGCGTCCCCTGCATCAGCAGGCGGACTCTCAACCACTGCGCCACCAGGGAAGCCCTCTTCTTACATTTTTAGACGTGAATGTTTGAACATAACGTCAGTCAGGATGGCATGGCGGCTTCATCACCGTAGTTCCTCTTCTACTACACACATCACTACATTATTCTCAATTATAATTCCAAAAAGGTCTAATTAAAATATTTTGTTGTAAGAACTTTAAGGAAAAACTCACAGAGTCCCTGTCCTCGACTTTTCATAGTAAAAAAATGTAAGTTGCAAGTCTGATTAGAAAACACAACAAAAACGTAAAATGCATAACTACATAGATGTGACAAATTTGCATATCCCAAGATGGCAGCCTGGGAGAGCCTAATCATGGTGTGTGAAAAACTGTGTTTCAGGTCAACTGGCAAACTAAGGGCAGTGAAATGTTTCCGGCTCAAGAATGATGTAGCAATCTGTGCTAAGAAACCATGGTAGACTAGAACAAAGAGACAACTGGGGAAAACAACAACGCACAGGAACTTTTTCACACAGGAATTGTTCTTAAGAACAAAAATGTCATATGTAGACTTTAGCTGCAAAAGTTGTTCTACTTTATTAAAAGCTACATATGGTCCACTTATAGATCTATGTAGAACACTTAGTGATTCCAGGAGTTATTCTCATTCCCATTACTACAAGGAAAGTAAGAACATTTGCATAGTCACATAAGCATTGGTGTTATTTCCAGTAAAGTGAGAAATCATGACTCTGCCCTTAAAATATTTGATAAGCAGTATGAATCATGAATTTTAAAAATAAAGAGGCATTTAAAATTTAAATTTTATTCTAGTGGCTATTCCTATGAAGCTATATTTGGAAGGGTGAGATTCTCTTAGTGAGCTGAATAGTCAATATTAACATTATGTTCCTTTCTCTTGATTTATTTTATGTACACTGTCCTAAAGATGATTACTAGTAATAATGCCATATCCATAGTGCCCCAGGACTTAGTTGTTGTTTTATCCATTCTCCAAACCCAAAAGCCGCATTTGCTAATGAAATGATGTAATGCTAAATCCCACAGAAACACACATTCCATACTTACTTAAATAACAACTTCTTTAACAAATGAGATCCGAATGGAGGTGGATATTATGAGACAGTCACTGGGGTGATGAAAACAAACTGAGACGGGTATATAAAATATTCCTCTGGCTACCTGCCTAGCTATCCGTTTGGAGTTCCCTACAGCATGGAGCCTCTGAGGGCTTAAATTGCTGAGTAGAAAAATGGGAATAGTGGTTTTCAGTACACTTCTACTTCTTTTCAAAGTAAGTTTTAGTTAGTAGAATTCACTCCTTATAAACCACCAACACGAAAGTTTCAGAGTTTCAAATCTGGTACCACTGAGATGCAACAGAAAAAAAGATGGGTTTTCATTTCCACTGCAAAATGAAGAGGAACTACTGAAGGGAAATAAATATATATGAATTCATATAATCTATAGTTTTAAGATATGCATACAATATTTGTACAATACTGGTTCAGAAACCAAAATAATCACATCTATTAAGACCAGTACACACACATTCTTTTTTTTTTTTTATTTTTTAAATTTTGGTCGCACCCCGCAGTATGTGGGATCTTAGGTCTCCGACCAGGGATGGAACCCGTTCCCCCTGCACTGGAAGGCAGAGTCTTAACCACTGGACCACCGGGGAAGTCCCATAAGCTCTTTTTAAACTAACATTTAATGTATATATGTTTTGTTATTATTGGGATCAGAATGAGGAGGCTTACCAATTAGGGTATATGGGAAATGAAATTCGTCTTAGGATCAAGAACAGATGAGAGAGGGGAACTGCAAAGAAGACTGCAAATAGGGTTGGGTAAGGGCCAGCTGATATTTGAGCTGTTCTGCTTTTAGTTAGTTGTTGTTATTAAGTCATGCTGTATACATTCTCCATCCATATTCATTATCCTGCTATAATGCTCCTGTGTGATAGATATGGCTCAGAATGAATCCTTTATGTCTGCTCTAAAGCCTAGACATTCAGCCACTTGACTTATTAACTAATTTACTTCCTTTGGGACATTCTCTTAAGTTTATTTGCCATTTGGGGGAAAATTTTTAAGACTTTAGCTCCTATATTTTTGGACAAAATTCAGTGTTTTTAATGCTAAATAGGTAATACATTTCAAAACATTAATTTTTATGTACACAGAAATGTTAACCATTGCTTTAAATATTAGACATGGGGTCACAGAATGTCGGCAAAGATATTTTGGAAGTTATAGTCGAATTTTTAATCTCCTTTTAAATCTTCACCTACTATTATAATGAAGAGCTTTTCAATTCAACATTAGACTGTAGGCTTCATGAGGACAAAGACCGAGTCTGGTTCATTTATAACTACATGTATAGCACATTTTACAGTAGCTCACAAACAACTGTTGAGTGAAGGAATAAGGAAGCTGAATTGGATTCCTTATATGTTGCTGGCACTGTGCTAGGAACTGTGAATTCAAAGATGTACAGCCTGATCCTTGCTCTTAGGAACCTCACTTACCTTCTATGGAAGAAAAAAAAATACAGAAGTGACTTGCCACAATATATGTGAAGTTTAAGTGTGACAATTTAAGCATGTGTGGTGATCTGTGAAAGCACTGAATGAAGGGCAGTTTCTTCTGCTTGGCGGGAGTTCGGGGTGGAAGACAGGGAAAACTCTAAGGGCAGATGCCCTCTGAGTTGGGCCTTGAGGGCTGAGTGGAAGTTCACCAGGCAGATAAGGTGGGCTGACCCAGGCGGAGAGAAGAACATAAGCAAAGGCAGAGAGTTATGAAAAAAGATGGCATATTTGTGTAAAGGGGGGTGTGGTCAGTGTGTCCTGAATGGCCTAGAGGACAGGAGCAACAGTCAGAAATTTAAGCCAGGGCTAGGAAGAAACAGGGCCACCTGCCCTCTGCGTTCACTGGACTTCATCGTCAGGCAGGCAGCTTCCTGCAAAGAGTCTGGATTAGAGTTGGGAAAGAAGGGAAATACAGAAATATCAATAAAGAAACTGTTCATTCATTCATACATTCACTAACCAGATATTTAAAATGCAGTGTTGGTGATATGCCAGCTGCACTGACTGGGGAACGGGATTTAAGGATGTATAATAAAACAACCTGACTAACAGGTGCTGGGGACTAGAACAGGACGTTGGTTGAAAAGAGGAAAGAAAATATAAAGGAGATATTCTGAGGTAAAATGAGCAATCAAGTGCAGTCAATGAAAATGCAGAAGGATTTAAGGATGGACCTCAAGTTTCCAGCCTTAGCAACTTGTTGGATTATGATCCATTAACTGAAATAGGAAACACAGAAGAAAGGGCAGGTAAAAAGGGATATCGGTAGGGGAATGGGTAAACAGAAGAACGAATGGACTTGCTTTCAGATCGGTTGCATTTCAATTCTAAGGGCGTATGGGTTAGCAGATCAGAAAAGAGATTCAGACTAGGAATTTAGATTTGTCACCATCCATGCCATTTCAAACTGGGAGCATTTATGCCATAAGAAGAGAACTGAGCTAAGGTATTTATAGAATACAAAGGGAACTGAGCTAAGGTTAGAAACTTGGGAGCACCAACATCTGAAGGGTGGGGTAGAGTTTCAGAACTGAGGAAAATAAAGGAAGGAGAACAATGTGGATGAAAACAGTGTCATGAAAAAGCCAAGGGAGAAGAGACCTGCCAGAATGAGGGGCTGGTAAACATGCCAAATGCAGGTGAGGATTTCACTTCCGCATGAGGATCTTGGAGGACTTTTGTTAGTTTTGACACTAGATAAATAGACGAAAGATGTTTCAAGTTGCTGGTTTTCAAAAGGATACTCCTAAATATGTATATTCTTTTCTTTATAAATACATTTATCATCTTTGTGCCATAAAGGAATTTAATTTTGGTCTCATGGACAGTATTCCAAAGATAGAGTGACATTTCCTAATATCTGCAGTGGACTAATCCAACTCAAAATTCTATTACACGCATTGCCTTCTCAGGGAAGGGCAGCATTACTGGTCTCAGCTCACAGTACCGTAACTCACCCAAGTCACGTAATTCAGTTAGCAAAAAGGCCCAAACCTGGACTCCTGGCTCTTGATTAAATGTTGTAGCTTTCCCTA